TCCTTCCCCAGGGGGTAAACGTGAGACCCTAGGGTCATAAACCTTAAGACCTTCCCATCTATGAAGAGTGCTTGATTCTACCATATCTGGGTCTTTAAGAAGATTTTTGAAATTTCAGTTAATTCAACCCTTTTTGGCCCCACCCATCAGCCACTGGGGGTCAGTCAGGGCTGATATGCACATACTATCAAACTGCTACCCAATACTGATAATGCTAACCTAAATTGAATTACCTCCAATGGCAATTAAACAAATGTTGGTCCAAAATGTGATTTCCCTATATAAACTATAGTAAAGTTTACCCCCTCCCCAGGGGGAAACGTGAGACCCCAGAGTCAAGAAATTCACAATTTCGGTAAAGCACCTTAAGACCCTTCCATCTATGAAGAGTATTTGATTCTACCATATCTGGGTCTTGAGAAGAAGATTTTTGAAATTTTAGTCAATCTGACCCTTTTTGGCCCTGCCCCTCAGGCCCCTGGGGGCCAGGGACCAAACCGGCAAATATTTTTTGTGACCTTTGGCCATGGAAGGTTTCTGCAAAATTTCATTGAAATTGGTTCAGGGGTTTTGGAGAAGTCGAAAATGTAAATTGTTTACGGACTCACGACGGAAGATGGACGACGGACGACGGACGACGTACAAAAGGCGATCGCAATAGGTCACTTGAGACTTTGTCTCAGGTGACCTAACAAACTTGGTAGCCCTTCATCCAAGCATGTTACTGGCCAAATATCATCACCCTAGGCCTCTCAGTTATTTAGAAGATGTCATTTAAAGGTTTTAAACATATTTGACCCAAGTGACCTTGAATATAAATCAAGGTCATTTATTTGAACAAACTTGGTAGCCCTTCATCCCAGCATGTTACTGGCCAAATATCGTCACCCTAGGACTCTTGGTTATTCAGAAGTCGTTTAAAGGTTTTAAACATATTTGACCCCAGTGACCTTGAATATAAATCAAGGTCATTTATTTGAACAAACTTGGTAGCCTTACATGTCAGCATGTTACTGGTCAAATATCATCACCCTAGGCCTCTTGGTTATTCAGAAGAAGTCGTTTAAAGGTTTTAAAGATTTTTGACTCCAGTGACCTTGGATATAAATCAAGGTCATTTATTTGAACAAACTTGGTAGCCCTTCATCCCAGCATGTTACTGGCCAAATATCATCACCCTAAGCCTCTCTGTTATTCAGAAGATGTCGTTTAAAGGTTTTAAACATATTTGATCCCAGTGACCTTGAATATAAATCAAGGCCATTTGTTTGCACAAACTTGGTAGCCCTACATCTCAGCATGCTACTGGCCAAATATCATCACTCTGGGCATTTTGGTTATTGAGAAGAAGTTGTTTAAAGTAAAAAGTCGACGCCGGACGGACGCCGCACCATGCCATAAGCTCACTTGGCCCTTTGGGCCAGGTGACCTAAAAATATACCAACCATCAAAAGGGTGTGCCTTGCAGTATGGTGAGAGTGTGACAGTGTTGTCTGAGTGGAGGACAAATGAGCAGGCTGCCACACCCTTTACTAGGGCAGAGAAGAAGTCGGCCATTTCCACACACTCGTTAAACAGGATGTAGCGATCCTGTCTATCTGTGAAGTAGGACTCACTCAGGTTGGCGCTGCAACAGTATTACAAGTTATCATTAACATTGATTTTCTGATATTGTAAATGCACAAATAAATAGGGCCTAAGAAGTGAGAGGGTTAAAAGTAATTAAATATGTAAAGCAATCTGGAAACGACATCTGCAACATAAGGGCTTATCCAGAAATAAATGATGTGCACTGCTTGTGTACAAATCCTGCTTCTTTCAGTCAAGTATCACAGAAAACCTTTTTAGCAATGCGTGTTCCTTAAAGAGAAAGTTTTGAAAAAAAAGAATCTCGTTATTTACAAAGGTGGGGTCAACATTTGGCCCCCGTTTTGATTTCTTTTATTCTTTTGCCATATGTGGATACATAAAAATGATCAATAACTGAATGAATGATTATTCATAATTACTGCTGATAACCGTAGTGGACCTCCTTGCTTAACACCAGGTTGAGTGACGGGGGTATCCTAACAAAATGACAGATATGTGTCACAGGCGAATGTTGTTTTGATAATGTATTATGATAGTGTACAGTGTATACAACTAGAACACTGACAGGTCAGAAAGGGCCCTGTCTTGTGGCAATTATATCCCCCATAATCATCAAGAAGCAATCTGCCCATATAGCTGAGCTTGATGTTTGACATCTGGACTTCAAAAAGAATCGCAAGGAAGCAAAGTATACATTTTACATGTACTATGATGTGATGTGTTTCCTTCCACCTCCATATTTGCTGGGCTAACAGAAATGACAATTACCGGTGCAATACTCATTTGTTAGCTTTGATTTGTTTTATTTCACCTTATATACCTTCTCCATTAAGAGCCAGGGTCAAAGTCAGAGATCCATTTTGTCTTTGACCTTTGGACCCAAATGACCTTGACCATTAACCCATTGACCCTGATCTTTGGTCAGTTGACTTATTCTTTAATTCCGACCAACTTTGCTTCTTAATATCATAACAAAATATTCATCAGTGAAAAATACAACACTTGACCTTGACCCTTTGGACCCCGTAGCCTGGAACTAAGGTCAGTTGACTCTGTGTTCTGAACAACATTGCTTCATAATGTCATAACAAAATGTTCATCAGGGAAAAGGTACAAAATTTTAACCTTGACATTTGACCAAGTGACCTTAACCTTTGGTCAATTGACTCCTTGTTTAATTCTAAGCAACATTGCTTCAAAGTGTCAAAGCGAAAAGGTTCACCAGTGAAAAGATACCAAATTTAACCTTGACCTTTGACCCAATGACCTTGACCTTTGGTCAGTTGACTCGTTGTTCAATTCTGATCAACTTTGCTTCATCATGTCATAACAAAATGTTTATCAGTAAAAAGATGCAAAATTTGACCTTGACCTTTAAATATCATGACCTTGACCTTTGACCTCAACTTTTTTCCTCAGTGTGTCTCTTTGTTTAATTCCAAACAACTTTGCTTCATAATGTCATAGCATAATGTTCACTAGAGAAAAGCTACAAAATTTGACCTTGACCCCTAACCCGATGTCCTTGACCCCTGACCCGATGACCTTGACCTTTGGTCAGTTGACTCCTTGTTTAATTCTGATCAACTTTGCTTCATAATGTCATAACAAAATGTTCATCAGTGAAAAGATGTAAAATTTGACCTTGACCTTTGAACCTAACGATCTTGACCTTTGACCTTGACTTTTTACCTCAATGTGTATTTTTATGAACTGAACAGCTTGACCAAGTTTCATGTACATAGGTCATTAAGTATCAAAGTTATCAATCAGGAACAAAATTTGTGGACGGACAGACAGATACTTTTTCTGTTTTCGTATTATACCAAAACACTTTGTTATATTACACATGTTTTAAAGTTATGTGCAGCAGTAATAACTCATGAATATGTATCCTGCCAAAGAAATCTTTCCTCTGGAGAACTACTTAAGGTTGAGGTTGTGTTATAGATATGCAGTTATATAAAAACACTAAAATAATCTTAATAGTAAAACTCTTATACACTTAATTATACCCCCCGTAACGAATTAAGGAGGTTATACTGGAATCAGCTTGTCCGTCCGTCTGTCCGTCCGTAGAAAAAGTTTGTCCGGATGACTCCTTCTAAAGAAATGGACCAATTTCAACGAAAGTTTCCAGATATGATAGCTACCACATGAAATTGTGCATCCAGGTATTACTTTTTCATTCTGATCCTTATTTTACAAAGTTATGGCACTTTGTTGAAAAATCATTGTCCGGACATGTCCTCCGAAACTAAGGGATAAATTTCAACGAAAGTTTTCAGATATAATAACTTTTACCTGTCTGTTGTGCATCCAGGTATATTTTATTTTCAATCTGACCCTTTTTTACGGAGAAATTGTCCTTTGTTGAAAAACTCTTGTCAAGACAACTCCTCCAAAACTATGGCGCCAATTTCAACGGAAGTTAACAGATATGATAACTGCCCCCTGACATTGTGCATACAAGTATATACGTAGTACGTTTTCATTCCGACCCTTTAACAGGAGTTATGGCCCTTTGTTAAAAAAATACTTTGTCTGCCTCAAAAATTATTGGGCTGATTTTAATGAAAGTTTACATATCTGGTAATTACCCATTGATGTCGTACATCAGAGTAGTATTTTTTCATTTTGACCATTTTTAAAGAGTTATGGCCCTTTGTTAAAAATCTTTGTCTTGACACCTCTTCCATTACTACTAGGACGATTTCAGCAAAACTGGTTGATCTGGGCTAACAAGATTTGGTATGCAAGAATGTTTTTGTATGGAGAGGGAGTACAGGAAGTATGTCAGTGACCTATATACTTAAGTTATTACTGATAGGAGACTATGAATTTCTTTGCAATGCTTTGCCTTAGTAAACCTTTAGCTTACAGTTCTGGTTTATATAGGAGCGGGGGTATAAGTTAACCATTGGCGTACAGTTCTAGTTATTATTTTATTTTGCCTATTGCCTATTCATTAAACAAAATATGAAGGAATATTACATTATTGTATATCGTTAACTCTAAACAAATAAAGCAAGAAAAGATATCCTTGTCTGCCTCCCCATACAAACTATTTTTTTAGCAAATTGATTTTTGTGACCTTGAACGAAGGTCAAGGTCATCAACGTTTACAAAACTTAAATCCATTCACATGAACAACCTACTTGCCAAATATCAAGACCCAAGGACCTTTTAAATTTGGTCATGAAGAAACACAAGTTGAAGGAAAAGTGGAAAGAAAGCTATGTTTTTCTTATTTTCAATCAAAAGTGTTATATGACAAATTTACCAGTTGTCAATGTTATTGAAATTCCTGATGTTGAAAGATTTCAGAACTATGTCAAAAATGGAAATTTTCTCATTAGTAATGAAATTTCACATACTTTTTGCTTAAATCTTTAATAAAATGAACAATTCATTCTTGAAATTGTGCAATATTTGGTATTAAAATAACAGATGGAATATGCACACGATGATATAAGTTATAGTAATTATGTCATTTAAATGCTCTAGGAGGCATTGTATTACCGCACCTGTAACACCCACACAGGTGTAAGTCAATGAGGTCCCATTTATCCTTAAATGAATTCTGAAACTAACTGTCCCTTCTTTAAGCTTCCTTTACTCATACCTTTTTGGATATATCTTGTTTTGAAATTCCCAGCGGGGGCCGACGCTAATGTTAAATCTCCATAGGCGTTGACCCTACCTTTGGAATTTTCCTAGCAGTAAGGGCTCAGGTCAAACAAATGTGATAAAATTGATTCTGCCATGGTAAAAAGTAATGTGTAGAAAACTTAAATATCTGCAGTTCATCTGTTTTTTTCAACAAGAGGCCCAATAGGCCTGTATCGCTCGACTAGATTTTACATGCTCACACTTGTAACCTCAAGAGTGGACCGAGATCAAATATATTTAAATAAACTAAATTAAAATTAAACTCAGCTTCAGCAGAAATATCATGTCCTATTAATCTTGGTCAGTGCAAGACCCAGTTAAAAGATTTGAACATATTTAACCCCTATGACCTTGAAAGTCAAACAAGGCTATTAATTTGTACAAAATTGATAGCCCTTTATCCTGGCATGCTATAGCTACTGGCCGATCCGATAAACATCATCCTGGGCTGTTTGGTTTTTCAGAAGAAATTGTTTCAAAGATTTTTTCCCACATTTGACCCCATGGCCAGTGACTTTGAAAGGCAGTCAAGATTATTCATTTGAACACAATTTGTAGCCCATCACCCCAGTATGCTTATTGCAAGATATCATCATCCTGGCAGGGTGGTAATATTGGAGTTTTGGATCAGCACAAAAAATAAGAACCTTTCTTTGGAAGTAACAGGTCAGATAAATATATGTTCAAAGTAGCTAAATTACTACTTTACAATACCCAAAATTGTTATTTCTCTCTATAAACTATAGTAAACTTGATCCCCTCTCCAAAGGGGAAGAATATAATCTAAATATAATTTCAGTAATAATAACATGATTTGTGGTTTCCATGATGTACTTGCATACCAAATCTGGTTACCCCAGCTGAAAGAGCATAGAAGATATGCCCCAGGCAAACAGTTTCAAAGGGTTGATGTCAAAGGTCAAAGCATAGGTCACAGTGACATAGTTCTTAACATTTTCTTCAGGTTGGTATGTATTGATTATGAAAAGTTTTCTTGCTTCACAACAAATAAGTGTTTCTATGCGACGTTTTGATGACTAGTACGGTATGTACTCTGTCACCTCCACAGACAAATGACCAGTGAAGCGTATGCACACAAGGTTTAAAATGTGTACGAGTTGTCCACAAATGGATGTTGATTAGCCTACACTGTAAGCGTTATGCACAATAGTTGTTTTATATGTAACGAAATGACTCAATTCAGCTACGCTTTGCTTAATATTTGGTCATAGATGTGTAAGAGTCTATGAGCCCCCTCATCTCCATCTAGAACTGGCTCACTGCGGTGTATCCAGAATCCAGATGACTTCCTTTATCTGCCGCTTGAACAGACTGCTCTCTCTGTCCAATACTTTGGAGTTATTCCAGTCAATCACATTATTTTTTTGTGTGGAATGGTCGGTGATTGCTGTTTTATTTATCAGAGGTTGACTGCTTCCTTTCTGATCTGGTGAATTTTCTTCCTTCTTGCGTTACCGTATCTTTCCAGTGTTCACAAAATGACATACTTCCTGTTCTTTATACTTTGCCATCTCAACAAGATATTTGAATATTGAAGGTCAAACCATATGTCGCAGTGAGACACCATCCCAAGATATACAAGTTTGCAAACTAAATCTAGTTACTCTAGGAGAGACTGGGTAGACAATATTGTTGTGAAAATGCACTTGTAAAGTAGCCAAGCCGACTTCTCTGTATGCTCGGTGAGCAGGTCGACTCGCCCGAAGATGATGAGCTGTCCTGCGTGACAATATCGGGTGTAGTCTACACTTGGTCAAGCCGCTATACGATTGGTTTCGCCTACTGTTGGTCTGATTGTAGATTACACTCGCCATTGCAGGCTAATATAACCTTATAGTTAGCATTCATATTACTTGTAGCTTCTTACTACAATTGGTGTCAGAATAAAACATCATTTACAGCTGTGATTATCCCCGTACGTGTTTACATACACATCGAACGGTAACTATTTATAACCACGCCACACGTTGGGTGTTATTATAAGCCCGGGGCCTTTGTGTTGTTAGTACATGTTCAGTTGAGGTAAATATAGCTCTGTGCCCTCAATATCAATGCAGCAACTTATGAGGAACTGGTTGGCATTAATGGAATAGGTCCTAACAGGGCTAAAGCAACTATCCAAAAACGGGACGAGTGTGCCAACACAATAACATGGGGAGATTTGAATTGAAGACTTCAAGCATACCTACCGGTAGTACAATGTGGGACCCGCTGATAAATAAGGGATTAGTGTCCCTTGAGCTGGTGGCTTCTGGGGGCCAGGTTAGGCAGGAAGGTGGGGTTGATAGTGGGGCTTTACAACATGCCCGCAGCATGGCCGAGGAGATTGCTTTTGAGAGGGAGGTTCAGGAAAAGCATTTAGGATTAGGGAGGATGAATTAGCGAGAAGTGAAATGCAAATGCAAAGGCATATAGATGAAATGCGGGAAGAGTTTTCCCGTCAGCTTAGGGTAAAGGGATGAGCAAATTTGGATAGCTCTATTGAAGCAAGTGACAAAACCTGGCATTGGGCATTTGTTGGATACAGTGGAGGGACTAGCCCCGAAGTCTATATCCATTCAGAAGGCCAAGTCGGGACAAGGGGCTAATGGTCAAAATTATTTTAAGGGTCAGGGTTTCGGAAGTGGGGACAGAAGGTCTGGTGTGAGGGGTGAATAAGACAGGAAGGTTAAGCCCACATATGACAGTAGGACTGAATGGAAACCATTTTTTGTTCAGATCTTTCACATTGGTGACCGATAAGCCTGGTCAAATAGACAAATGTTGGATAAACTTATTGAGAGCCTCTGTGACAAGACCTTAAAGTTGTTCAGCTCCCGGCCGTTGTATATACGCGAAGATTATATTGTCCTTTGCTCTGAACTTAGCAAATGGTTTGGGAAACAGGATCTTCCCCGCATTGGCAGACGTGAGTTGGCAAAGTTATGTCAAAGTTTGGAGGAAACTGTTGAGGAATATGCCGACAGAACTCAGGAGCTGGCTTCTGACGGTTTTCCTGGGACACAGGAAGACTTTGTACAGACCATGGCCGTTGACAGCTTCCTGTTTGATAAGCGGGTGGCAGTTCTAGACAAGGCCCCTAGCACACTTGATAACGCGCTAGCGTTAGTAAAGGGTGTTATAATCAACCAAAAACTCATATATGGGTCTACTAAGCAGTTCAATACCTGCAAAGGGTATGACAGTGACAATACTTTGTAAGGGGTTAGGGAAATATTCGTTTACTCTGATAATGATTTGAACTTCCGGTCAAGCTTCATGGTAAAGAATGTAAAGCCGTTGTAGACACTGTTGCTCAGGTCTCTGTAATTAATACGGAGTTATTTAACTCATTGGACCTGGGACCCAATCTTTCTAGGGGAATCTGTAGGGAAAGACTCAAGGATCAGTGACAGTATTTTGGACAAAACAGTCATTGAGTTAGGTTCCCTTTATGACAGAATGTCTGTAGTGGTTGCTGATATCTCGGACCACATGATCCTAGGACTCGATTTCTTGGACAAACACAGGGCCATAATCAATCTGTTGGCGTATACTGGGGAGTTAGAGGGTCAATCCTATCCTGCGGTGTGCTTCAAAGATCCGAATGAAGGCGAAACCCAAGTTTTCAATGTGAAAATAAGGGGTAGGACATGCCCCTGGCATCCTTTAACTCTGCACAGGCTGAACAAGTAGACGTCCCAAGGGACATCAATTGGTAGTTCAGCCGTACAGGGACATAAAGGGCCTTCTTGTTCCCCCCCGCTTTACGGAAAGACAGTGACAACATGTCCCTCAAACTATGTAACCCTACTAATACATGCATTACCTCAAACAGCGGTTGTAGCTTAGGGACTGATGTGTAGGTCAAGCATGCAACTGAAGAGGATAAGACTGCGCCTTCGTTACCGAAGGTTAGGAAAGTTCAACTGGAACAGGAAGGATCATTGAATGACCGACTGAAGAAGGCAAGTTCAGCACTTCCTGCGTCCTTGATTGATCTATTTGATCGTTCGGCAAGAAAGTTGTCTCCAGATCAGGCATTGAGGGTTGCTGAACTTTCATTGGCCTTTCGAGAAGTCTTTGCTGATGATGATTTTGACCTGGAACTGTTTCGAGGGGATATCCAGCATCGGATAGAAACAGGTGACTTGAAGCCTATGCGACAACGGATGAGGCGTACCCACTTAGGTTTTGAGGCTGAAGAGTATGACAATTCCCCATCTGCTAGAAAGACAAGCATGCATCTGTCCTCTCCGGACAGAGAACTCAAACATGCTGCTCGGAAAAGGCCGTCACCTCAAACACTGTTGTACAATGTACTCGTTGACTCACCTTCAGGCTGTTGCGAGGCGGCAGGTGATTGAATCTTCCGTTGGGTGTTCTTGTACCATAAATGCTTCTGTTTTTAAACAGGGAAGAGAGTTGTGAAAATGCATTTGTAAAGTGGCCGAGCCGACTTCTCTGTATGCTCGGTGAGCAGTTCGACTTGCCCGAAGGTGATGAGCTGCTGTGCGTGACAATATCGGGTGTAGTCTACACTTGGTCAAGCCGCTATATGGACGTATTTCGCGTACTGTTGGTCTGATCGTAGATAACACTTGCCGTTGCAGGCTAACCTTATAGTTAGTATTCATATTACTGGTGGCTTCTTACTACAAAATGCCCCCGATAAATGTTTTGCAAAATAGGGCATAACTTCTATAAAGAATACCAGTTCAAAATTGTTATTGCAGGTACAAAACTTGTACCAAGTGTGTGGATTACATTAGTAGAGGTTCATGAAATTCAGCTAAAAACTGTAGGAGGAGTTGCATTCATTGTACTTCAATGTATTACATATGTCCGACATAATATTCTGGACAGAAGTTATAGAAAAGGGGCATAACTCTCAGAAATTTGGTCTAAATTTGAAGACATGCGAAAGGGCACAACTTCAAGACAGTTTAACTGTACTTCACAGGGAAATAACTACAGTCACTGAAACCAAGTCTATTTATGCAATAACCTAGCCAAACTTAATATGCAACCCCAGCCAAATATTATATATATATATAATACTGATAAATATATACAGATATATATATAAATAAATTGATAGGAACTGTGGGGAGCCCTGTAGTCCCCTAAACAATATGATATCTTCACACAGGAGGGCTCTCATTCATTTTTCTCTCTGCTAATTTTCTCTAAATACAAACTAACTTGATAGCTCTCAACATAAGCATTCTATAGGCTAAATATAATGCAAACAACTGCCTAAGACTGCCTGTTTTTTCAGAGACTTTTTAACAATGACTTACCCACTGATGATGAAACTGTCATCGAACAAATACATTTTCATGTGGTGCAGTCCTACAATTTCATCAAACCGTTGTGGCAGTAATGAGCGCACCAGACCTCGAAGGTTTGGGGAGTGAAAAAGGTGTACATGAATCATTCCTTCAAATTCTTTTAAAAGTGGTGTCAACATTGTTCTGGATGAACTGTCATGTCCTCGTGAACCACGCACAAAGTCTAACAGTACATGAACCTCAAAGTCTTCATCTTTATTCTTTTTGGCTTCAATACAGGCCTCACGTATGTTGTCTACCTGTAAGGAATAAGAGAAACACCCGTAAGTACTGTGCTACAAGTAACCTAAATACATGTAATTTGGAAAACATGTTAATTAAACTCTATTGCCACTTCTTGACAAGGGACGGATGGAAGGTGAACACTGCATAAGCTAGTGTGCAGTTCCAACAGGCGAGCTAAAACTCCCAGTGGAGGGATATCTCCTCGCACATTGTCGTCTCTGGAGGCGGATAACCTTTCCTCAACCCTAAAACCCCAGCCTCATTTATTTATATATCTTTGACACAATCGCTAAACATGCTACCACTTTAACTTGGATGTATCTATCCAGAAGTTTCGTAATAGATTCCCAAGCAATTTTCGGGATACAACTACATGTATATACAGTACGCGTCAGGTGATTTGGTACTCAGTCGCCCGCTGAGCGACAAATTTTAATCCGTGTCGCTCGTAGCCGCGGGATGATCGCGGACGAAACGCCGGCTATATCAAGGTAGATCTGCCAGCTTTACATTGATAAGCCCTCCACGACTATCCCGCGTTCATGGGTGATGGGGATTAAGTCTGGACAGAGAAAATACAGTATACTACTAGTTCAAGTTTTATTCAAACTTTGGGTCATGTATGTATCTGCTATGGCCGCTATTCCTGTCTACGGTATCACAGATGCACAGTTACAGTCGGCACACCGAACAGAAAGCGCTACTTGAATTTCTCGAACAGAAAAGAAATAACGCAAGCACATACTAGGGGTGGAAAACCTGTCTTGTAGTGGATATTTAAAAAGAAACGAGTTCCACGAGATCTATTTAAAATTACCCATGTATGCTTAATATAAAGTAGCATTGCCTTGTTACGTGATAAACATTTCGTCTTTGTCCAATAGACGTATATTGGGGCAACATTTACGATGTGCAAGTGTCGGTTAATTTGACTAGATTACACGATTTCCCCTTGAAACAATCTAGATTATAATTGAAAAGGACCAGTACGTTAATTAACACATCATTATAAGTGTCTCCGTTTAGTATACTCTCCGTTTAGTATACATTGTATCAAATGTTATCATAGTTTACTGATTAACATAAGTTTATTGAAAAATTTAACGAGGCGGACAAGCCGACTGTCCCTGCACTCTGAAATCACCCAAAATTATTGGTTGGTCTGAAACGTCAATCACATCTCAGCACAGTAGCCCTCCTGTCATAATGGGCGGAGCTTTCGCAATACACCGCATCATGCGACTGATTAGATGGTGTGTATCGTCGAGGTGCCGCCCACTCAATTCCCCAAATTTTCGTACTTTTTTGTGTGTTTGTAGAAATGAAAAATAAAAAAGACGGTTGCATTAAATTATGAACAGAATGAAAATATTGGTCCTTATAAGTCTACACTTTAAATAAATGTTTAATATGGTTCTCCTACCTGTAACATGGACCTCGCTAATTTCAAGTTATCTAATCTTATTTTATTCTGTGTGTATCAATCGGAGACAACAAGTATTCGTATGATTTCATGTGTAACTGTTGCAATACAAAATTATATATAAAACAAAATCAGAATTAAATATGAATATTATTTAGAAGTTTTAAACCAACTACGTTTTGAAAGTTAACTGTTTTGCATTTCTTTAATTATGATCCCTTTGACACTGTTAGGTTTCAATTTAAATTCGTCTAATATACCGTATTCCTTCACGGATGGTCATGCATGAATTATATATATATACATGTACATACACAGTATCATCGTAAGACCAGCTCATATTCCTACAAGAATATTTCAGTTTTTGTCATATTTTCGTACTTTTAACAAATATATGTTGTTTCAATGTATAAAACTTTTTGAAGAAAAAAATCAATCGCATTAAGTCCATGCTGGTCCTTAGATTTGATCCACAGAATCTGTCGATGTATAAAAATTCAAACTAACGTTGCGATCCATTTTCATACGTTGGTATAGTGTCAAAATGATCCTGATATGTGTTAAAGCTATGTATTATCAATACTTAATAAAATTCCAACGAATGTCATTTCACACAAAAACGTTTATAATAATATACAAGAGGTCCATGGGCCTTAACGGTCACCTGATATATTTATACAGAGAGTTGATTTTGTTTTTAACATGAACAGAAATATTATTCAAAGTGACAAAAAACAATAAAACCACCTTATTCAATATCTAGCATACAGATTTCAGACTAAAAAGGATTTGAAACTAGCACCTCTGATTCTTAACAAGGAAAATGAAGAAATTTTAGCACACTGACTCCTTTGAGCCCCACCCTACAGCCCTTGGGGGTAGGGCTGGCTCAAAATTTTCAAAGTATCAAACTGTCAATTCAAGGTTATAATTCCAATCAAGTTATTAACATGTAATATTCAAAGTATCATTTGCCATTATAAACCATAATAAATTTTGCCCCCCCCCCCCTTCCCCAGGGGGTAAACGTGAGACCCTAGGGTCATAAACCTTAAGACCCTTCCATCTATGAAGAGTATTTGATTCTACCATATCTGGGTCTTGAGAAGAAGATTTTTGAAATTTCAGTAAATTCGACCCTTTTTGGCCCCACCCATCAGCCCCTGGGGGTCAGTCAGGGCTGATATGTGCTTATTATCAAACTGCTACCTAATACTGATAATGCTAACCCAAATTGAATTACTTCCAATGGAAATTAAACAAATGTTGGTCCAAAATGTGATTTCCCTATATAAACTATAGTAAAGTTTACCCCCTCCCCAGGGGGAAACGTGAGACCCCAGGGTCAAGAAATTCACAATTTCGGTAAAGCACCTTAAGACCCTTCCATCTATGAAGAGTATTTGATTCTACCATATCTGGGTCTTGAGAAGAAGATTTTTGAAATTTCAGTCAATTCAACCCTTTTTGGCCCCACCCATCAGCCCCTGGGGGTCAGTCAGGGCTCATAGGTGCATACTATCAAACTGCTACCTAATACTGATAATGCTAACCCAAATTGAATTACTTCCAATGGAAATTAAACAAATGTTGGTCCAAAATGTGATTTCCCTATATAAACTATAGTAAAGTTTACCCCCTCCCCAGGGGGAAACATAAGACCCAAGGGTCAAAAAATTCACAATTTTGGTAAAGCACCTCAAGACCCTTCCATCTATGAAGAGTATTTGATTCTACCATATCTGGGTCTTGCGAAGAAGATTTTTGAAATTTTAGTCAATTTGACCCTTTTTGGCCCCGCCCCTCAGGCCCCTGGGGGCTTAGGACTAAACCGGCAACTATTTTTGTTGACCTTTGTCCATGGAAGGTCCCTGCAAAATTTCATTGAAATTGGTTCAGGGGTTTTGGAGAAGAAGTCGAAAATGTAAATTGTTTACGGACGCACGACGGATGACGGACGACGACGAACAAAAGGCGATCACAATAGGTCACTTGAGACTTTGTCTCAGGTGACCTAAAAATGCCCCCGCCGTATATTCCGTAGACAAATCCGCATCTATCTGTTGATCTCACGTTTCTTTAAATGCCAGCGTTCCAAACCAAATGCTATAAACTTAATTTCTTCCGTTTAAGAATAATAATACATATACAATTCAAATGGAAAATAATTAGGAAACTACTTCCGAAAACTTCACATGTGCTCAACAAAAGTGATAACCAGCATTTGATTACCATATGTGTATAAATGTACATTTATTTCATTTCGACTATTACAATAGATATGTATTATAATAAATAAGATAATTTCTAACATATTTTTCAGGAAACAAAAAAAGTACGGGTAAACAAGATCGAACCTATATCACAAAATTGAAATTTGTCGCTTCAGTAAGATTTCCTGAATCTAAGTTGCTAACTATCAACGATAAGAGAATGGAGTAAAAACAAAAATGAACTTAAGGCAGAGAGTCTAAGAAAACTGTGTTATTTCTCAAACGAAGATGAGTTCCAAGTTGTTCTACATTCTATTTTTAATTTCTGTTAATCAGATGTATGTGAAATATTCTATTCCTCTAAAAATAACGAGAATTCAACAATATGTGTATCATTTCCAGAGAAGTGAGTGACTACTTTTTAAATAAAAAAAATGTAGTGAAAAACGATCTCTGGAATATTTCATAAACTCTTTTTCAAAATTATGTTATGGACAATTAGATCTTTATATAGACATCGTACAACTCTGATCGTAGACCAGTGACCGTTGCAATTCTTACCAGGTTAATTTTCCCTGTTAATTGCCTTCTCAAAAAAAGTTTGGTTATATAAATAATGAAACTGGTTATCGTACTTTCCATTGTATCAAAATAGTTTGATTGGCAGGTGTTAAACACAGGTGAGACAAACTATGGTTTCAAGTTAATTGCTTAATTGCTTTTATGATAAGTGTAGCTCAAGTAGTGGGGGGTGCAAGGCCCAGCTAGGGGTTGGCCTCCCAAAGAAAAGTTTTTGAATTCAAGGTCTCTGGATCAAATTCCTGTGTTTTGTGGAAAGTTGACGATTAGATTTAAGCAGACGTAATTTATGTCTCTGATTTTAATTTTGGTAAAAAAAATAGAAAACGTATTCATTGCGATTCATTGCGATTTTTTTTTAAAAATTTACTTTACTTACGCAAGAAAGGTTTGAAATACACCTATATTAAATATGTTTTTACTCATCAAAATTATGTGTACTCATTTGCATGTAGCTAGACAGCTACGCGCTTGCATGATGAAAATAACAATAATAGATTTGTTCTTCAACTTCTTGAGGAATTGTCAGTAGCAAGGTCACAGTTCACCTCATCCAATGATCTGGTAGGCTTGTCCAATATTTGAGACACTAACGTCCTTTTTTACTAGCCAAAACAATAACCGGCGCTTGGACTCTTCTTACTGTGATAATTAAAAATTGTTCCAGATTATTCTATAATTTTCAAGTACAGTTTCCTGTTTATACATTAAAGATGAATATGTCCAATACATTAACACACAAGTAGAATGGTAAAGGTAACCATGCTTGACAACTTGAATTGAGACACCTGTAGTGTTG